AAGGGGTGAAGATCTTCATTTCTATTGGTCAAGTGTCATATACAATGGGCTTCAAGGAGGCTGCGTGAGGCCTTACTAAGAATTAGGGTTTTTTTTTTGAAGTCATTTGAGCTTTGGAAGCTAGAATCAGAAATTTTAGGTTTTTGAATATGATTTGGATACAAATTTTGTCTGATTTGGAGTTTTTATAAAGGAGTTATAGGCACTCAAAGTTAAGGTGTCAATTTCATACCTATTGTCACTCTTTGAGGTATAACATACACTTACAAAGAGCAACAAAGGATCGGCAATTAGGATTGAAGAAAAAACTTCCTTGGCTACACTTTTCATTAGTTGTTTGATGAATTTTAAGTCTAAATGAAGGAATTATAAGATGTTGAAGACAACACATGTAATTCAAAAATAATAACTGAGTTATTATCTTGAGAGTAATGGTTGGAACCATATCTCAAGTTTTTGGATGAATTATTGGTTTAAAATTATTGTAATTATGTGTTATTAGATTAAATAGCTAAAGATCAAGCTACTTGCACAACTTGCAAAAAATGTTGGGGTGGAAAACAGTTGTGCAAGTTGCATCAAACGATAATGGCTTAAATTAATTTTGTGTTTTTCTTTTCTTTCTTTTTATTTTTTATTTTTTTATGCGAACTGACACCTCTACTTCTTAGCTAACTTTCTAAAAAGGCTACCTCACTGTAATGATTCCTTTAAGCTATTTTCGCAATTAAATGTTGATTGTACGAGATCCCAGTGCTAATAAGCCTGCGGAATCTGCAAATAGCAGTGCATTTCCAGTACCCAGCTGACGCTCCACTATGGGCCATCCTCCAATCAGGGATGCTTCTGACAGTTGGCTGATGAGGACCAAATGAAGTGGATGCCAACTAGACAGTCAACTACCCCTTTAATCCCCAACAAGTATACGTGGAATGGTCCGCCCAATAACCATGCCGAGTAATGGCCACCCTCGAAGAAGACCTATTGGCGAGTACCCCCGTTGTTATGTCCTGATAAAGCGTTGGACCCCCCCCCCTCCATAATTGCCCCGCTGCCCTACCCTAAACCCGAGAATTCGCTTAAGAGCAACCCCTCCACGTCATCACCCTCACCTGGATGGATTGCGAATGCATGTCCCGGGATGTTTGCTGCGATTGAGGGAACGAAACGGGTTCGCATGTCCAGAGGAACGTGTCCCCAAAGCTCCCCTTGAAGAATCACGATGGTGTAGTGTGAATGGGATAGTGTGGTAGGCTGCCATAAATGGAGCCCTGAGCAGTGTAGAATAGGTCGGGGGGGGGGTGTGGTCATGGCTTGTCGCTGTGAGATTGTACGGCACCCCCTCAGACTGCTACAATTCATTATGGACTGAGAATATGACATTTTTGTTGAACTCATGCATGCATCTGCTTCTGTGTTTAACGTAAAAGGGCTACTTCCCCTCTCGCAAACTTATTAATGAAAGGAGCATGTGATTTACTGTGGGTTCACTTATGATACAATCATGTAACCTGCAGGACACAAACAGTGTCTTAATTGTAGTTCCATGGTTGGATAGATAGAAGGTTGTCTTTTTGAGGGACTTTTACTGGCTTAGGTAGCAAATTATTAGAAGAGCATTAACATTAAACAAAAAAAAGAAACAAAACAAAACAAAAACAAAAACAAAAGGAACACAAAGAAAGGAAGAAAGAAAAAGCATTAGGAAAAAAAGATTTCAGAACTACGTTTTTTGTTGTTGCACATGGAAGTATGAACAGAGGTTCAAATGAGGTCTTTAAAACTTTGTTAAGTGCTTTTTATAGTGTCATTTTACATTATTGTTTGCAAGTGTTTAATACAATTTGGAAGAGCCATTCAAATATCTTAGTTTTTTCCATTGTAATTAATTGTTATTTCTACATCTTAGTTTTTTTACTGTGAGAAGTGAATAAGTTTAATGTTGAAGTTTTAAGTGATATTCTTAACAATTTAATGCTACAAACTACAATACTATTAAACCATTGGTGTTATTCAAAATAAACCCATATAATTTTCTCCTTCTAGAAGTTATAAATTTAAGTAAAAATTTGTACATTAGCAATCTTTGAATTATAATATATAAATATTATTTTAAGTTTAACATTCTAAAAAGTTCTTGTTAAAGAATATTACAATAAATATAGAAAAGTGAATGTAAAAGTTGGTAATTGCAATACAATGACAAAAATATGTATATTCCATCTGATAACTTTTCTTTTAAATAAATATACAAGTAGTATTTTTTTAAGACAAATACAAATATTAACGAATTAGTTACTGCAACAAATAATCAAATACAAGTAAATTTTTATAAAAAATCACAATCTGATCTACTAAAATCATTTGAAGAAAGAATTTCTATATTTTAATTACTTATGGAATACTTTTATATATATTTAATAATATTACTAATAATAAAAATCTAACCAATACTAAATAGTACTTAGCATCTAGTTTATCAAAATTTATTCATTACATAAATGTTGTTATAATAACATACTACTTTGAAGATAACTATATATTTTTTAAAAATTTGAATGCATTTTTACCAAAAGTTTAACCCATGTGTGTAAAATATGATATAACTTGTGTAATATGTATAATTATCTTTACTTTAGAATGTGAGTTTTGTTTACATCCATAGACATATTATAAACTTTAGTAGTTTTCATTTATATTTAATTAAAAGATGACTTCTTTATTTGCACATGTCATCAGATGTTGAATATATTTAATTTTTAAATATCAAATAAAATTATCTAATTTCAAATGAAATATAATGTTTTTTCTTTTAATTTTTTTAAAATAATTACACTATTATGTTTTTCTACTTTGCATTATTTGATAGTGGTCACAAAAACTATTTATGGTAATTAAAATAGTTATACAGATGTGTTATAACTTACTATGTAGCATGTTTAATAAATTTACTATTTTCATTAATTAAGGGAACCATTTGGTGGGCATCACTCCTCACTCTTGTGCCACTCACCTCCTCATAAACACAATAATACTTTTATTTACATAAAAAAACTTAAGAGAAATTTACAGTAAAAAAATCCCTTAATAAAATATTAATATTGTTAAAGTGAATAAAATAACTACATAAATTGTATTAAGTTTTTAAATTTTAATTAATAAACATAAAAAAATAAAAACCAAGTGCCATAAGCCATTATACACAAATATTTTACTGTAAATTTATCCTAAAACTTTTGTGTGTATGAAGAGAAATGTGTCATGAGGGGGGAGGTGTCTGTCAAAGTGATCAGTTTATCTGTTGGTTAGAAATACAATGAGGTACAATGTAATTGCAATTGTTGTTGCCTTATGGTTAACATGTGGTTCATCTGATTAGCTTTATGAGATGTCATTTACACTGGTTACATGACCATTTCCTACAACTGCTTATATATATATATATATATATATGTGTGTGTGTGTGTGTGTGTGTGTATTCTTTTGAATTAAAAATAAATTAAAAAATAATTTTACCATAGACAAATGTGTAGAGTTTTACAGGTATTGTTAATATGTAAAGGAGCTTAGTAGAAATTACAAATTGTTTTAGAAGCACATGACTTCTCATTGTATAAACACCAAGTGCTTCCATTTACCACTAAAGATTTTTTAAATGATGTAAGGTGAATGCAAAACATAAAGTTTGAGTCATGGTGATTAGTTTAAATTTCAATATTGAGCAGGGGATTATATTAAATATTTATCTATTAAGAAATGAAGCTTATTAAGTAGATTTGATATGTAATAAGGATGAAAATATGTTATTTATGTTTTGAATGATTTGTTACTTGTAATTTTAAAATATTAATTTTAAATGGTATCCTTTCTGCAACTAATATTTTACACTATTATAAGTTGATGATTCTGTTTAATTCTAAATTCGAGTTTATTTTAAAACTATATAACATAACATATCATGTAAAAATTTGTATTGTAACATAATTAATATATTTATTATTTAAAAAATAATTTTATTATGTAGATTTTTTTATTTTCACATTATATATATATATATATATATATATATTTGAATTGTTTTTAAAACGAAATTTTTGTTGAGCTGAATTTTTTAAAATTAACATCATGAAACATATTATTTTAGATATTTCCTTTTTTCAATATTGATGAGCAACATGATATTTTTATACAAATATTAAAAGAAATGCCTTTCAAATGTGTGATGTATTAATGACAGACATCCATTTACATACAGTATCGTTTCATTTTTATTTTTATTTTTTAAAACAAAAACATTAAACTTAAAAGTGTAACCAAATCTACACTTCATTCCAGTTCTTTCTCAATTTTTTTTTAAATTCATCTGTAGAGTATTGGGGTCTGCCAATTTCAACCGAATATCCATATTTCAGCAGTTTTGAATGATTCAAATTTATAGAAGGCTTTTAACACCACTTAGACGATATTATCTAAAACATCAATTTAAATTAAATTCTGATGTATCCATCGAATCCCAATATCAAAAAATATATTGTTGACAAAATATTAACTAAAAAATATTGTTAGCTATGAAGACTTACACCTTGACTTGCACATTGTTAAAAAAATGTTAACTCTTCTAGAAATATTAATAGTAATCTCTTCTGACGTGATTGACTATTTAATTATTATTATTCTTTATTTTTTTATTTTATGTTAGTTGTAACAATCTGTTTTAGTCATTGCTATTTGTGTGAGTCGAAGACGTGACGGGAAGAAGTATGGAAATATCACTAACAGGCATGAAGCCAATTCGGGGGGGGGGGGGGGGTGTAGAATTAACAGATTCAAGAGGGGCTCAGGACGGAACGTGCAGGTCCGACGTTGATTCGACCTTCCGTCCGTCACATTGAATGAGGCTGATAAACGAATTGGACAATTGTCTGATCCGTACCCCCAGGTGCTCTAAACGTCGTATTAAAATATCTCTGATATATACCAGCGGAGCAGATCGTCCACGACGGGGGATTGTTGTCGTCTTCCATCATCAGCATTTTCTTATTTCCGCTGTTCCTTTTTACAGTCGCTCCTCATCGGCGAGCCTTCGTCACCTGAGGCCTTCGTGCGACGACGATTGTGCTCGAGGATTGCCACTTATGCCATAGCTCGCAGTCTTTCGTTCCATTGAAACTGGAGTTGATGGACCTGACTTGGCCTGGAATCGCGGGAGAGAATGCTTCGGAGCAGTGTCCACTAGAAACAAGGTCGGGTCAGTTGACTAATGTTAGCTAGTTTGATGTCCGAGTGTGAATTGCGGTTGCAGGGAGAACAAAGTGAAAAGGTAGCGAGAGCGATAGGGAAATACTGGATGTTGCGATGTTTAAAGACTATAGTTTTTGGTTTTTTGGTTTGCGGACTTTTGCTCGACGCTTTCGCATCATCTGCCGAGGGAAAGAGTCGTTAATATTCAAGCGTTTTGTTTGTAAGAAGAAGGAAAGTTGCTTGGATATTCTTATGATGCTCCAGAATTGTGACCTCGCGTTGGTTTGTGAACTCTGAAGGCAAGGAGCGTATGATTCCATTGAAGATTCGCTGATGAATGAGAGTATACGGCGAGAATTAGATTCTTGTGGATCGACGTTTGTTTGAACAACTTGTCGACCACAGGATTGGTTCTTAGAAAACATGAATGAAACAAAGTTTGAGTTCAAGTTTGAAAGTGTTGGAATAGTTACGCTCCGCGTATTGACAATATTAGCTGCCTAAAATATTCTTTTAATGAGGTAATTGTTTTGGAAGCAATGTCTAATACTTTTCCATCAACGATGCCTCGTTTGTTGCTTCCTGACGGAAGTGGAAAGAAGGTGCACAGTTACTTCATGACGAAACAGTTGAGTGTGTAAGCAATGATTCGACTGGCCTGACACTTCAGTTGTAATGGTTGTTGTTGCAGGTGTTTTGCAAAGGGAACGCGATTTCTGTAGTGCGGAGGTGTTTGCTGGTGATTTTAGAATCAGGTTCTAAAAAACTCAAAATAATCACAGGATGGCGGAAGTGGCGACATTCAGCGTGAAAGTGGAGGAAGGTGTGCAAGGCAGAGAGGGATCTCCATCAAAGGGGCCTGTCTACAGAAGTATTTATGGGAAAAATGGTTTTCCTCCTCTACCAGAAGGATTATCTACCACATGGGACATTTTCGCGTACGTTTCTCCCTGTTCGTCCTGTAATGTCGTCTGATTCACTCGCGAAATTTACTTCCTTAGTGCTTCTATGCTTATTGAAATGGATGGCTGGAATATTCTACATAACTGAGGTGGTTTTCGTCGCCTGAAAATGCTCTTCGTGAAGCTACTCATGTTTTCATTCACTTGTACGATCTAAAATCGAATCTCACATAATACAGTCCCTTGAAGCCTGTTTCAGAGTACATACGGATTCTCAGAACAATCAATCAACACTCCTTGTTTGCCACATAGTTTCATAAAATGACCTTCGTCGGTGAAGTCATTCATCTTAGGACCCTGGATGGTTGTATTCGCTTGACAAGTTGTGCGCACATTCTGGATGTGGTCAAGTCAGTTGTATTCTATGCTCATTGGCGTCCGGTGAGAGCTCATTGTTGAATAATTGTTGTAGAAGCTGTAGTATAAGCACTACGGTATATGAGGAATTGTGCTGTCGCCTCACGGGCTGTCCTTTGTAAGAAATTATGGACGTCCAAGTGGAATTGTCGACGCTGTGTTTTGTTCGCAGGGGTGTCTCGTACTTTATAAACCATTGAACCTTTCAGAGTCATGATCAAAATGACTAGGCTTGCAACGACTGTTTATCGGCAGGTCAGATTGATGTGAACATTGAAGTTTTAGTTAGACTTCCGGTTGGAGGCACTCTATAATACAACGACTAACCAAGTTCGTAGTTGAACTTGCGTTATTTGTGTAAAAATATCACACTTCCCATCCTTGTATTACGCAGAGCGCTGTGGTACACTTTCATGTTCTTTGAAGTGACACATATGTTTTTTAATATATTCACAATGATGATATTTGTTCAAGTGATAAATTTACCTGTTGGTTAGAGGTACAATGAGGTACAATGTAATTGCAATTTTCGTTGCCTTACGACTTAACCTGTGGTTCATCTGATTCACTTTATGAGACGCCATTTACACTTATTACATGACTATTTCCTACAATGATTTTTTGTTTACTCTTATCTACTGCAAAGATGCTTTTATCTGGTGAACTTTTCTCACGAGCTCTTGTGGATTTAGTGGAACCTTACAAGTAGACATGCTGTAACCTTAATTTGTGCAGACGAGCTGTTGAACGGGGCCCTGGAAACAACTTGCTTGGAGTTCGCGAGATGAAGAATGGAAAAGTAAGTACGTGGGACACATTCCAGATAACGATTCGGATAGCTTTATTCGCATGAGCAAGCAGTCAGTTAGCTTTACGGAATGCAATGAAGGTTCTTGAAACGATCCAGAGCATATTCTCCCTCTACCTTGGATTGGCAATTTTTGGGAAAATGTTCGAATCAAGTAAATTTTTTTTCACAGTTGTGAGTAGCATGGTTAAACTTGCATTTCAACCGCCATGCATAATTTGTGCATCCTGATAATGAAATCTCCTGATTGCAGGCTGGGAGGTACCAGTGGCAAACTTACCAGCAAGTCTACGATGATGTGATACGCATTGGTGCAGCTATGCGTCAAGTGGGAGTGAATCCTGTGAGTCCAACGGCTGCTTGAGTTATGATATCTAAGGGACTATTTTCTGGACAAATTTTATATTTTCTTGGAGGGTTTGTTAATTTATTTCCCCATTATTAATGTAGTTCTCACATTCATTGATGCAACTAGTGTCAATGCAGTGAAGATATTGAATTAATTTTTTCCCTCTTAGATATGGCTAGTGGCTATGTTTGTCGGCCAACAAATAAAGCGAGTGCGTGTACCCACGAAGCGATTTACATAGCCTTTTCGCACGTCTCAAAATGTTTTTCTTCTAACTTGCATATCTGGAAAATGTGCAGAGGGGAAGATGCGGGATATATGGAATGAATTGTCCACAATGGTTCATTGCTATGGAGGTATTTTATTTTAATTGGGAATGCATTCTGATTTTCTAAATTAGACTAACGCTGATTTTGGGGTGTTGTCTTCCATTGTTTTCCCAAAACTTTTCGCATGTAGATCTGCCAAAATTTGCTCAAAAGTTGTGCTGATGGAGCTCTGCCTTTAGACAGAATTAGTTTCTCGTGAATTTGTAACTCATTGTTGTGTGTGGATTTGTTACAGGCCTGTAATGCGCACAGTATAGTGTGTGTTCCTCTTTATGATACTTTGGGTATGCTTTAATTATGTTTAAAGACGTCAACTTATGTCTTTCTGATAATATACTTACATTTATCGATTTTTAACAGATGCATTGATCGACAACCTCTTCATTCAGAGTGTGATATCAGTGCCGTTTGTGTAAAAGTTTATTTCGTTAAATTTTGAATTGTCACGGTAAATTTATTAAGCTTTTTGACGACGACACTCTGGGATTGTGCAGGATCGACAGCAGTGGAGTACATCTCAAATCATGCAGAAATATCAATTGCTTTTGCACAAGAGGGCAAACTCTCCTTGGTACTTAAGGGCCTCAAATCCCTCACATGTCTATACAACAATTAAGTCCAATACCATTATCATATTTAATTGTCTTCAGAATTGATAATTTTATTCCTCATAGAGCTCACTCAACTCGATCTTTCAACAATCTTATAATAGCCTCGATCATGCAGATGATTCAATCGCTCCCCAACTGCACGGGATTTTTGAAAAGTATGGCTTACGCTTCTCTTCCCCTAATTGAGAAGGAATTTTGATTATATTGGAGTTAGCGTTGTCCCTTATAGATCTCTCAAGTAGTACAAATTGTCATTCGTTAAGAAAAATATTGGTAGCATCAGCTTACTCAGTACTTGTAGTTTTTTTAAGTGTACTGCTGGAATCTGTGGAAATAGCAAATTTGTCATGGAAATTGTCTGAAGTCCCTAAATCAGAACTTGACGTGAACAATCCTTTGTCGAGCTTGTGCTTACATGTATATGAACGATGCAGCCTTGGTAAGTTTCGAAAGCATCAGTAATGATCATAAAGCTCAAGCTCAGAATGCTGGAGTCAACACCTATACATGGGAGGAATTTTTGAACCTGGTGAGCCAATAATACGTAGAATCATTTATCTGCACATTCATTCGTACATACTAGGCATTGTGCATGATGTGACGGTCACTGTTTTAGCGTAACTTTGGATTGTGAAAACATTTTTTATGGATATTTCACATCCAAACCTAGAGCGACGAACATTATGTTGGTTGAAACTGCTCGTAGATTTAGAGTTATTTAGAATGATCATAGAATGTTCCTTGATTCAAATCCTGAAATTTAAATTCAGAGTAAGTTCTATCAGTATTGTATTGGCAAGGGGTTAAGGATTTTCATTCCGTATGAATGATCTTCATTATAGGTTCACAGGAAAAGAACTCAGGCTAGTTATTGACCATGTTCTGCTGCTTTCTTAGGGGGCTAGTCATCCGGTCAGCTTAACACCTCCAACGAAAGAGGACCTGTCGACAATCATGTATACTAGTGGGACCACAGGGGAGCCCAAAGGAGTAATGTTGACTCATGAAAATGTTCTGGTCACTATTGCGGGTCTTGACCACATGTTGAAATCTCTCAACGAAGTGGTGAGACTCTCGTCTCTGACTGATTTCTTTGTGTTATTTTTGTGATAACAGCCGTTGTGTTCAACAACATCGTATACCAAGTGCTCTCTTCTCACTACTATGTAACTCTAATTAACGAGATAATAACTGTGACACTTTGGGCAAGATAGACTTGACCACACTTTCAGCTGAACGAAGTTAATTGCTACATAGAAATGTAATCCTTGGACCCACCAAGACATAAGCATATTAACATCAGTCTCATGCATGCAGATGGATCATAATGATGTTTACTTCTCGTTCCTGCCGTTGGCCCACATCTTTGACAGAGTGACCGAGGAGATGTTCGTATTTGTAGGGGGTTCAATCGGATTCTGGCAAGGGGTAGGTTAATAAATTCATCCGGACTTGGTTTATGTCAAGTTTGCGCAATTTTTGTTGGATGCTGATGTAAGTGTTAGCTTCAAGTTATTACTTCAGTTGAGTGGATGTAGTGCAATTTCTTACCCAGGTTTGCTTGTGTTGTTTCTTCAGGACATCAAGAAGGTACCTGAAGATATTGCAGAATTGAGACCCACATTGTTTGTTGGTGTGCCTCGCGTCTTCGACAGACTCACCGCAGGTTAGCTTGCACTTGAACTCAATTTGTGTTTCCAAAGCACACAGGAAATAAAATTATGTACAGTATGCGTGTGTGTCCTCTTTCTGTGGAAGCTGCAAGATATGTTAACAGAAATTGCACTTTTGTGTCAATGCAGCTATCCATGTTTCTATTAAATGGCAGTACAACGTAGTGTGATCTGGTGTCGCCGGGCTTGGTCGCGTTGAAACTTTCAATTTGGAAATTCTCGTATAACTCTGCATAGAAATTGCCGTGTAATCTCAAATTCAAATGATGAGGTTTGAATTTGTATGTTTAGAATGCCACTGAACCTTATATATAGAACTGCGGAAAGTCGTGAAAGCACAGCTAATTTTGCCCTGACATGGACGTCGTGCGCCTTATTGATTTGTCTTCAGCAATTCAAGGCAGAATAGCTGCAGCAAGTCGAACAAAGAGTTTGCTCTTCAATCTTGCATACTCCAAGTGAGCATTGTTTTTGTTTTAGCGGTGACACCAGATAGCTGTTTTTTTATCTCCTTAACGTTGGTCGTTGAGGTTATTTCTCTGAATTGCAGCTCAGAGTCATTCTTCGCCTTACTGTTCTCTTAGACATAAATTAGGCAATTGGAAGTTTTAAGATTGCGGTTGATGATGGATGTGAATTTGCAGCAAGTTATGGTGGATGAAGAATGGCTACAAGCAAGACAAGGCATCACCACTGTTTGATAAGCTGGTCTTTAATAAGGTTCACCCGCTATTTTTTGTTTTCCAGCTAACAACGATTGCATAGTGTCTAGGACAATCATGTTCTTGAACCTTCAGATGGTATCTAATGGAGAGGTCTCGGAATTTGTAGGTGAGAATGGGTCTTGGTGGACGTGTTAGGCTTGTTATTTCAGGAGCCGCACCTCTGGCTGGGCATGTAGAGGAATTTTTACGGGTTATCATGTGTGCCCCTGTTTTGCAAGGGTATGGTAAGTACAGGTTACACTCATGTGTATATCTGTCTTTCATCCTCAGTTGATCCATTGAGAGGTTCCTTGTTTATTTGCAGGGGTTTGTCAAGGTCGTGCTCTGCAACATTGTGATTTCACCGCACTATTTTAATTGTTTTGCACAACTTGAACCTCCAGGATTGACGGAGACCTGTGCTGCAAGTTTCATTCAAATGCCGGACGTCATTTCCATGAGCGGAACTGTAGGCCCTTCACTATGCAATATTGAGACTCGGTTGGAATCTGTTCCGGAGTTGGGTTATGATGCCTTGGATAAAAAAAGGCCGCGAGGAGAGATATGCATTCGTGGAAAAACGGTATTTTCGGGATATTACAAACGCCCGGAACTCACGGAGGAGGTTCTTGTTGATGGTTGGTTTCACACAGGTACGCCTTGTATATCCTGAGGACCAACACACCAATTTACTTCGCTGTTTCATGCTAACCACTTTTTTGCAGACTGTTGCAAGGGGCTAATATTTATCTTTTTTGAATTATTCTAATTATTTGATTCTATTTGTCTAAAAGTGACTTGATATCATTTTTCGCTGTTACAATCAACCGAGCGATGCTGATAAATGTTGTAATTTCTTGTGGAGAAGTACAAACACTGTTGAGCCTATGGACCCAAGCAGAGACTGTCACCAATATACGTGGAAAAAACGATGCAGTTTATGTAAACGAATGGTGCTGGAGGAGAGCGCTGATGTATTCTGATTCTTTTATAATGCATGAATCAGGTGATATTGGAGAGTGGCAGGCAGATGGTAGCATGAAGATTATTGACCGTAAGAAGAATATTTTCAAGCTTTCTCAGGGAGAATATATTGCAGTCGAAAAGCTGGAAAATGTGTACAATCAGTCTGCTGCTGTGGATGCGGTACATGCTTAACCTCAATGATTCTGGTGAACATCAGTAACTGATTTCTCAAAAGCATTTTCGAGTTGCTCGTTGCATCGTTTTGGCACGTTTTCCATCCTTTGTATTTCTCATACCCTTCGTAACTACGAGTCAAAGTTTGACCTCAAAGTTGACAGCCAAGTTTATTGTCGCAGCTGTCCTGGCATCTTTTTCAATTCATTTCTGAAGCTCTGATCCGGTTAGAAAGGTCATATGTGCACACTAGAAATCCAATGAAAGTCTCTGACTATCTAGATAATCGCAGAACCTACACACTGTTTTACATTTAAGGTCAGAGTACGTTGGTGCCATTATGCGCAATGTTAGCGTGAAGAATGATGTTTATTGGAGGATATTAAATGCAGTGTTTCTCCACGTGATTTGCGATTCACGGATTACTGTCTTTAAATGCCGGTAACTCGTATACACAGATTTGGGTGTACGGTAATAGCTTCGAATCATCAATGGTGGCTGTGGCGGTCCCCAACGAACAGGTGTTGTTGGACTGGGCCAAATCCAATGGAAAGAAGGAAGAATTTGCTGCGCTGTGCAAGATCCCTGAAGCTCAAAAATTCATATTGTCAGAGCTGAGTAGTACGGGCAAGAAAAGCGGAGTGAGTATCCTCTCATAGCTTGGCCTAATCAAGCTGTTTTTGTTCCTCCAGTTTGCTTGTACTTGGTAGTCAGAGGTCAGATGAGTCCTTCCAGTTAAAGTGCATCCGGCCTTATGATTTGCAGATGGGATGTCGGTTTTGGTGAAGTATGTAAAGATTTCTGCAAAGTTGTCAGCATTGCACTTGTAGTCGTTCTCTATAAAGATTACTAAGCTCCTCGATTCATTCATTGCAGGTAAGAGGATTTGAGTTCATCAAAGGAGTGCTGTTAGATCCTCAACCATTTGATATGGAGCGCGACCTGATCACTCCAACTTACAAGCTCAAACGACCGCAACTATTAAAACACTACCAGGTACTAGAGTTGGATCTCACAATTAATCTATACATGTTGGTAAGAACCACTTATAACAGCCGTTATAAAGAACAATTTCAGAACATTCGGTGCGCTGTGTGTATGATGAATTGAAAGATGTTTGTATTTTCGGAAATGGGCAAAGATTTCATGTAATAGGCGCTCAAACCATACGGTGCTCAACTAATTTGGATTTGTGGACCAATACGTAAGTGCGACAGCACACCTCATTGTTGCACCTGACTTTCATGCTGAGAGTTCAGTTTCCTCAAATTGATGCATGAAAATGGCTTCTACTTCAATCTCGTTCTTAGTGTTTATAAAATCTCTTTCTGACTTTGCAGAAGGATATCGACGCCTTGTATACCACGATCAGATCGAATTCCTGAAGATTATACTATTAAGGTCAGGTACAGGTCGTTGTGGTTTGCAGGCATACTAGGAGCCCAAATCATCCATTTATTTCCATTCATGGCTTACCTCATGTATACTTCGAAGATGGTGCAGCTGTGCAGGCAGAACTCTTGTCAGACAATTGTGGGCGGCAGTGGGGTGATATTAAAAGAAGAAAGGAGCAAGAGGAAATCCAAGTGGCAACGTATCATTTGCTGTCCTGTTCTCTGTGAACGATCCTCTGCCTCTTCCTCTATGCTTGACGCCCATTAGTATTTGCAATCATAACTATGAGGACGATGATAAAATTTGTAGTGGATTAAATGAACATTGGAAGAATTTTAGTGGCTGTATTGCGATTCTTCAATGTTGTCCTTCAGTGGCCGAATATCTAGCACGCTACACTTTTTACTAAAAGCTATATAACTTAATTCAGCAAAGGGTTCACCCCTTTATGTTTCAATATATATATATATATACTTTTTATTTTTATTTTTAACTGCATACTGCATTAACTCCCAGATGCTGATGATGTTATGTCCATGGTGGTTAATAAGAATATATTTTTTTGAGACACAAAAATATGTTACTTTGTTTGAAAGACAGTGATGTGGGAAGACTGATGACAGATATTGTAATGGTCTCTGCCATGACAAATTCCAAAGGCTTATCTAATATATTGCAAATAAAATAATGTGAATGATCAGAATGTTATAATGCACATTAATTGTGGATCTAAAAAGTTAGTTTTACATCAGTCAAATGATTGTGTTTCAATTCAAGTTTTAAAGCAACATTGAACAACAATAATATTACTGGTTGAATAATATCATGACAAGCAGTATTCTTTATTGCATTAATATTTTAAAAATAAGAAATGATGATAATAATAAAAAAATAAAGAAATTCAACATGATGTGGTTACTCTATTGATTCACAACTTCATTTGTATTTTTTTTTGTTATTTTAAAATTAAAAAGTTAAATAATTAACCAATAAATTAATCAATCAAATGAAAATAGTCTATTCTTTAGACAAAATACAATTTCTTCATTTTTTTCTTGTTAATTGACTCAATTAACCTAGTAAAATATTTAGATTAATAGAATTTGGACATTAGAAAATATCCACAGTAATGAATTCAAGGCAAGTTGGAAATATTCAATCTATCTAAGAATCAAATTCTTTAATCAAATTAAGATTTGGATTATAAAATATAAGGTAGGTTGAAAATATCCAATCCACCTATGATCCAAACACTTCCATTAGATTAGTTTTAAACAAAATAAAAGTAGCTGCTTTAGCAAAAATGACTAATTTCCATAATTAAATAGGAAAAGAATATGTATATAACAACTTTTAGCTAAAGATTTTTTCAAAACTTTTTAAATTATTATTTTATAATTTCTATTTTCTTATTGAATCTATAATCTCATATAGACCACTTATATAAAATTAGTTCTTTGGAAAGTCTCTTCTTATTTTTATTTTTATTTTTTTTAATCAAAATAATAGACAATAACTATTATCACTTATTATAATATTAATCAATCAAAAATATAGACAATAACTATTATCAAAAATATAGACAATAACTATTATTACTTAACTTATGATTCTTGTTGGTATAAAATCCTTTACAATAGAAGTTTAATTTAAAATTTTAAAATTTGGGTAGAAATTAATAGTATTGAATTGTACTACAAATTGGCATTGATATAAGATAATACCATCTGAAGGCTTTTTAAAGTTGATTATTAAGTCTTGACCAAACTCATATAGAGTTTAATTAAAATCTAAACTACCAAAATATAAAAAAATATTTATTTAAAATACTAAAGTTTAGATGTGAGGCCCTATCAAAAGAAGTCTAAATTATAGATTAAAAAGAATAATTTTCCATATTTTCTCATTCTTTCAAATTTTTTGTGCTTCTTACTTGAATAATTTTGTTGACAAAATATTCTTTATTTTGATGTAATATTTAAGGATAACACCTAGTGATAATGTTATAAATTTGAATTCTAATTATAATAACTTTTACCATGGTATTTGTGTCAATGGTAAACTATAACAGTGGACTAAGTGATAATAGTTATTGTCTATATTTTTGTGCTTGTACTTTCAAGTTTTACACAACCTTAGAGCAACATATCTTTGACCAAAAACTAGCTAATTAGTTGATAGACCTTTAGCATCTTTCACTCATCCAAGCTGAGTATGGCTCATGCTTTCTATCTTTCAACTATATTTTTTAATAGCCAATCTTATAAATATATATATATATATATATATATATATTAAGAATTCGACAACTTATTCTTTTTAACTACAATCCATTTCAATCTCCAATGCATCCCACATTATCAATGCCACTAATTTTTGTAAACAAGTGTAGCATCTTCTAGTATCTTAAAGGTAGTCAATATGCTTGCTTATTGCAATGGTATGTATCCAACAATTCATGTTTGTTAGCTTTGCAATAACATCAAACTTAATAACAAAAATACAAATTATTAAATTTAGCTTATTTGAAAAAAATCTCTAAGATTCTTATAAATATAATTAATTTATGATTTACTTTGCAAATATAAATTAAAAAATATTTATTCTCATTTAAAGTCACTTTGATAATATTTTAACTTTACTACCAATATATTTTTAATGATAAGTAAGCCTATATTTAATTCTAGAAACTACACCAATTACTAATCAAATTCATCTATGATTATTATGAATGAATGATTTTAATAGCAATAAAATTCAAAGTATCTTCTATTAATAAATATTTATTAAGTAACTATTATTGTAAATTATTAGAATGCATTTGCATTATCATAATTAATCTTCTTGCTATACCTTAATTAAAATTCTATACTTTGGAAAATAAGCTATAAATAGATTAATTAAATTTTATTCTCATATGATTTATCCTTCATCCAAAAGTCCATGCAAATTATGTCATGGACAAAAGAAGTCTAACTCTTCTTGGTTCATATGATTTTTGTAATCTGAGTATGTTATAAAATTAAATAAAAGACAATCTTTCTTCTAAATCTATAGTAGTTGTTGTAATCTCATCTTCCAACCAACCTTTTTTTCATTGAATTTCTATAATTGCTAATGGTTTTTTTATATATTATGTAGGTCTTTTGACTATAATACTTATTTTTATTTTTTCTTTTTAAATCCAAAACTTAAGACTATTTTGATAATATTTGTTACAAAAAAAATCCTCCTTATTATTGGATTACAATTTGATTAATACTATTGATTTTTTTTATGTTAGTCTTTCAACTTGGAACAAGACTAATCTCACCATATTTATTCTTTTATTTAATCACTTTCTTAAAAATAGATTCCAAAAAAATATTTTAATAATAAATTTATAACAATAGTCACTACTATGTTCATACTTGATTTAATATGTTCAAAATACCAATATCTAAACTACAATTAGAATTAAAATTACAGTCTAAAAAATTATTCTTATCCATCTATAGCATTATTTAAGATACACCACTTATCCCACTTGCATTCAAGCTCATTAATCTCATGTCTATAATTGATGGTTTTTTAACCAACTAACTTCATTTGTAATATCTACTAATAGAAGAACTAATTCAAATAGGTATTTCTATTCTCATATATTGCTACTTTTTTATTATCACTATTTATACTAGTAACAAATAAATTTCTAAAACCTTATTTAATGAAGGTTTTAGTATGAAAATTAATACTAAAAAAGAGGTCTACTACCTCTAACTTCTTTCTTTGGTACTTCTTCTATTTAATGTTAAAATAAAAATTACTTCATTATTCACTTATTTGCTCTTATATATCATTTTTTAATTCATATTCATAGGATTTTGTATAAGTCATTATTATTATAGTTAAAACCAAAAATATAATATTTAATTAATAATTTATTTTTATTTTTTTCGTGATTGGAAGATGATTATACTGTCTACAACTAAGCAAACAACCACATTTAAATTATAGACAATAAAATGGTCCACACCATTGCCATAAATTGCTAACTTAAGTTCAACTCCAGTACTTCAAAAGTTATTCTTTGCCATAAAATGGTAGAAATTAAAATAAAAAAAGAAGAAGAAATTCTATAATTAATTGACAATCTCCATCTTGTTGATACAATTGACCTAATATAAATTTTTAATTTTAGCTAATCTAAGATAACAATCATTTATTGTCCAAGAGAAATCTTTGTAGAGAAAACAACAATCTATTAATGCCTCTCTAAGCTTAATAATACTAATAGAAATTCAACTAAGAAAGCCATAATACAACTTTTAAATAAGAATACCAATTAAAATCCTTAGGAGGTTTAAGAAATGCTTATTTAATATTTAAATAATTAATTGTCTTTAAATTTTTATTTTTCTATTATAAAAATATATTTGCAAAGACTTACATAATTTTTTAAATATGTTCTAAGAGCTAACTAAATATCAAATAAAATTTAATTATTTTATTATTACGTTCCACCAAACATAATGTAGCATAGATTCAAATTATATAAAGACCTTCCATTGTTGTATAACATATTGTCTTACTTAAAAATACACATAGCACTTAGTTGTGGAAGATAAATTAGAAATTACTTCAATAAAGGTTATAGTAATTCTAATAGAATCTTAAAAAAATCTTAATTAAATCTTATCAATTGTAATCAACCTTGATCAATTCTTAAAAAAACTTATAAAATTTCTAAAAAAAATCATAAAAAAATCATAATTTTTTTGTAAGTAAATCTTAAAAAAATATTCAAAAAAATCCTAAATTAAAAATAATTTTTTTTAAATGATAAAAATATGAAATTTATAGAAATAATATTTTATAGATATATTAAAAATATACATCTTAAAAAATAATAAAAATGAAAATCTTAAAAAACATTCTTAAGAAATATTTAAGAAATACTGAAAAAATAAATTTTAATTAAATTTTGAATAAAATCGAAATAAAGTTTGATATAACTTTAAATAATCTTAATAAAATTTTAATCAAATCTTAAATCAATTATAAGTAAATCCTACCTAAATTTCCAAGATTGTTTTAAAACCTCAATAACTATTAATTGAACTATTGATAATGACTATAAATTTTCTCCCATTTCTATCTTCAAGACAAACATATGTACACAGATTTTGAACTTACTAATTAGAAAAAAGAGCTTGTAATATTTTTAGGTGTCTACCAGCTTACTTCTCCAATCTAAATGTGAATCTTTTAGTAGTGATTATTTCTTATTAAACTATCTAATTGCTCTTTAGATTAACAAGAGTATAGAAACTTAAGCTTACTATGATTTTACAAAATTTTGCTTTAATCTAAGTAGCAAATTTCTTAAGATCACATTGATCCTAAATTTCAAAATTTTGAGATTTTAATCCAATCAAGTTTCTATATCCTTCAATCTAACATTTGATTGCCTTCAAATTTTTAAAATATATTTAAGACAAGAAATTTTATGAATCTAA